TCCCGTCCTATGTGAAAAATAGAAAAATTGTGTGAACAAGGGAGTAATCCAACAGTACACCGTAGGGGTGGGCAACGGGAAACGGGTATTTGGGTATACCCATACCCGTCCCGTTTTTTTAGGGTTACGGGTACCCAAATACCCGTAATTTTTTTTACAGGATGGGATTTGGGAACAAGAAATTCTACAATTGGTATCCGCGGGTTATCCATTCATACCCGTTTGGGTATTACGGGTACTCATACTACCAGTTTGTCTTCTTTAAAGTAATAATACATATTCTTCCTTCGGTGATCTATTCCCATGTAATAATACATAGTTGCATATGAACCTTTTACTTTAGAAATGGCTCAAGCATGGATGCTTACAAGGAAGTGAAATGAGAAGATGGATAATTATAATGAAAGATTCACCCATCTGCTAGGTTGCTTCTTCACCAACCCAGTAGCAGAATGAAAGAACTCCAACATCTTGTTGGGGCTTGTTTGGGCCTTAGTCGTGTAGGCTTATTTGGTTAGCAGAAAGCTATGAAAGCTGCTGTACAGGTGAGTGTAATTTATTAGTTCCTGGAATTCAGGGTCATGGTGCCGAGAATTCTGCTTTGGAGTTGGGTTTGGTGTACTTATGTTAATTTGCTTCGTTGAATAAAATTATTATGTTTTTGGTTAATTATCATACACATCTATGGCCGCTTAGTTTATTTATTGTGGTTAAATTTTCTTTCTTTAAAATAATAATGGGTACCTTTAAAATAATAACGGGTACCCGCGGGTACCCGTTATCCGTCCCGTACGGGTAATGGGTACCCATTAACCCGTACGGGTTTGGGAATGGGATGAAATTTCCTCTCCAAATGGGATTGGGTACCCGTTTCAAACGGGACGGGTACCCAATCCCGTCTCGTTGCCCACCCCTAGTACACCGTCTGTGTGGACAATTCAAGGTCTCAGGTTTGTCCCCAGGTAGTGCATCTATTGTCTTTGTAGGTTACTAGTGACCAGAGCTGGCTCATGGATGACTGTAGGGTCCCTCTTGTAGATAGGGCTACAAATAACCTAAGATGCTCACGAGCGACTCGACGTTTGGTTTGTGAAAATGTCATTTGACACTGAGCTCATTTACTAATGAGACGAGTTTGAGTTAAGTCTCGTTCAGCTCATAAGACCCGTGAGCCAGCTCGAGTCACTGGTTTGTTGAGATGAACTCGTGAGCTTGCTCGTTTTGAGCTATGAGCTAACTCGATAGTATGGCTAGTGAGCCACCTCAACTAGCAACTTATAAGCGAATCGATTAATATTTCATCATTCGCTTGTTGATAATCCATAGGGTTTTTAGATATGTATCTCACCGCATACGATGTTTAATAATTTAAGCACGTGATCAAATATGTCTCATTTCTACTTTAAAAGAGAAATTACATATCATAAATTGCTCAGATACTAATTACTAAATGATATGATATCTGAGTTCAACATGATCCTAGGAGCTAATTGATGAGCCAATCTCGAGACACAAGCCAACCTTTTCATAAACAAGTCGTGCTCAAATAAGATAAAAATTCGACTCGACTCGACTTGAATATGCGACCATACTTGTAGTTAGGGATGACAACAAAACCCGAACCCACGGGTACCCACCCGACCCAACCCGGTCAACGCGGGTAAAATCCGTGTCGACGGGTTTTGGGCCGAGTTTGGGTTTAAACTCGTTCACTATTCACCGGGTTGGGTTTGAGTTTAGGTAAACCCGTCCCATGGGTACCCGCCCACACCCATATAATTAATTTTCCCGGTATATTATATATTCTAAACTACTAATCTTATTTACGTTTGTGGAGACATATCTAATTTTTTCTTTCTAATTGTGTACAATGAAGTTGATGTTATCGAGTGGAGAGTGAAGAAACTTAATTGAAAGGAAGAAGCTTTCGATTAATCATGTTATTTATGGATAATTTGTGATTTGTTTCAATTTTCTTGAGTTTTCTATATTGGTGTTGAACAATTTGTATAGTTAATTTGTGATTTGCTTTAATTTTTTAGAATGGTGTTTTATATATGGATAATTTGTATTGAGAGATTGATATTTGACTTTAATTTTGATAGGAACTTGCTATTGTAAATTTTTTACGACAAAAACCCGTGGGTACCCATGAACCCGCGGATACCCAGCGGGTTGGGTTGGATTTGAGTTTTTCAAACCCAATGAATTTTACCCCGGAATTTTTTCACGGATAAACCCATAGGTTCGGTTTGGGTTTGGCAAAACCCGACCCATTGCCATCCTACTTCTAGCTTCCTAGCTAGAGATGAAGCTAGAGATGAATCTTAGCCCGAAACTTAGTCAGTAATCATCCCTTGCTATCATCTTATTTTCAGATTTGGTTACTCATTGTTACTCACCCTAAGGTTACTCACCCTATCTTCAGCCCCTAATTCCCTAAACCTAATATCTTAATTCTGACCACATTCCTTAAACATCTCTCTTAAGGCTAGTACCATAGGCTTGGGATACAGTGAGTAACCACTGGTTACTGATCTGTAAGTAACTCACCCGGAGCCGTTGATCTAGGACGGAGCGATCATGTGGCTGGGATTGATGCGGGGTGATGAGGGGTATTTCTGTCCGCTTTTTGAATTTTTAATTGTTTCCTTTTTTTAATTTGTCCAACATTTGTTAGTTTGCTTTGCATGGAGGAGAGAGAGTTAGTGTCTTATCTCTGCAACTCTCTTTTCCTCTTTTTTTTTGTTCCTTTCTCTCTCTCATTCTCCTTATTCTCTAGATCTAATCTCTTATTCTGTTCTTCATTTTTCTCTCTAGCAATCTCCTCTTTCTTTGTTTCTTTCTCTCTGCCAATCTCTTTCTTCTCTAGATCTAATCTCTTTGCAGCTGCTTCTTCCTTATGTTCTTTCTTTTCTCGGCCTCAAAATAGATGACGTTCCATATTGACAAAGAGGGGACGGATCTATGTGAGTTAAGTTTGCATGTTTTATATTTTAATATTTGTTTGTGAATTTTCAATTCCGATCTTCCTCCTCTTTTTTGTTGTTGCATTTGGTGTTCTTGATTGCAGAGGAGACAGAAGACGAGTTTTTTTTGTCTCTCCCTCCTTCTGTTTTCTTCCTTGTAGGTAATATGTATTGGTATTACCACACTATACCATATGGTAATGTGTGATAACTAAATGTATCTTTATGGTCACGAGTTTTATCATGGTGGTAGTGGGTGGTAATCGACTCCAGTTCTGAGAAAAAAGAGTTAGAAGACAATGAAGCTGGAGAAGAAAGTGAAGAGAGTCGTAATTGTATATATATATATATATATACCGAGATTACCACACTATACCATATGGTAATTTGTATATAACATATGGTAAAGTGTATATACCATATGGTAATGTGTATATACCACACTATACCATATGGTAATGTGTATATACCATATGGTAATGTGTCTATACCATATGGTAAAGTGTGGTAACGAAATGTATTTTTATGGATATCGTGTTTTACTATGGTCGTAAAGGATTGTAATTAGATTTATATTATTTTTGTATGGTTTTACCTTCTCATACCATGTGGTATTGTATGGTAATTACAATTAATTTGTGTTCATTCGATTAACCATGTTCTACTATGGTGGTATTGTATGGTAGTTAGATTTACCATATGTTGATATTACCACACTATACCATATGGTATTGGGTGGTAACGAAATATATATTGATATTACCACACTATACCATATGGTATTGGGTTGTAACGTAATATATATTGATGTGACAAATTTTTTCATACCATATGGTATGGTCAATACCAGTCATTACCATATGGTAATGACTGGTAATATGGTAATGACTGGTAATAACTGACAAATTTTTTTATGTCTGAAAAATATCAAAGTGGATATCGTTTTGAAGAGCACAATTAATCTGATCTAACTGTGCAAAAAAAAAAATTTCGACTTAAAACGAGTGAGAAATCGTCCGTTAAAGATTAAGAGAAGGAAAATTAAAGGTTGTTTGAGGAGAGAGAAGGCGCTGATGTGATCTGGTCAAGAACCAGTTGCTCCCAATAACTCGAGTTGTTGGGAGAAGGTTCTGCTGGATCTTATACCATACTCTTACACGCCCCCTCAAACGAAAGCCAACCCATGGGCTTGAAGTTGGCACAGGTCCACCATACCTTGTGCTTTAATAAACTGTTAATATTGGGGGTCGTGGAGATTCGAACACATGACCTTTCGGTTCTAGGCTCTGATACCATGTCAAGAACCAGTTGCTCCCAATAACTCGAGTTGTTGGGAGAGGTTCAATCGTGGATCATATACCGTTTACTAACACCCCCCTTCAAACTCAAGCCATTCATATAGGCTTGGAGTTTGGACAGGCACACGTCCGGACACCGTGTGCTTAACAGAAACAGATGGGGGCCACCGGGAATCGAACAGAAGACCTCACGGTCACAGAAGGCTCTGATACCATGTCATAAACCAGTTGATCCCAATAACACGAGTTGTTGGGAGAAGGTTCTGCTGGATCTTATACCATACTCTTACAGGGGCCAGGGGAAGGGGTTACTGATGGTTACTGATGGGATGGTTACTGAGGTGATCCGAACCCAGTACCATATATATCAGCGAAGAAATCTATCAATCCTTTCCGTCTTAAATTTGTTGATAAACTTTCTCTGCCCGTCTTAATCTCTCTATAAGTATCGTTGACCGTGGTAAATTACAGTATATAGTGTGATAAATCTTTCATGTTTTTTGACAAAAATCTAATGCTGATCCCCTACTAATTACTAGCACAAAGAGTAAAAACAAATAAATATTAAAAACAACTCAAAGATAGAAAAACATATAAATAAAATAGGAAAGTTTTTTTTTTGAAGGAAATAAAATAGGAAAAGTTGAAAGCGTTATGACTACTGCCAGCTAAGCCTTTCCCATTTCCCCCCTAATTATTTAACATTTATTAATTACTTGTTTCTGTTTTATGGTTTACGTTTTTTCTGCTTCTCCCCCTCGTGATTCCTTCTTCTCCTTCATCCCTCCCTTTTATCGTTCCCACACTTCACGCTCATAGCGACACCATTCCATCCCCAACTCTTCTTCTCTCTCGCGGATGGAATCTCTCCGGCGAGCTGTCTTCACTCTCGACAGTAACCGCCGGCAGAGTGACCACCAGATTTGATATCTAGCTCAGCTGCCGTTGGTTTTAAGTTTTATTTTGGGAATTGCTTCTTCCTCTTCCGTTTCTCCGCATCAATGGCGAGGGTTTTCGATTCTGGTTCAGCGTTTCTCGGATGGCTTCTTTTGGTGTCTCTGTTGGTGGTGAGTGTGACGGCGGAGCCGCCGGAGGAGGAGAAGCAAGCGCTCCTTGCTTTTCTCTCACAGGTCCCTCACGCGAATCGGCTCCAATGGAGCCGCAACAATTCCGCCTGCAGCTGGGTTGGAATCGAGTGCGACGCGAATCAGTCGTCCGTCTACTCCCTCCGCCTCCCCGGCGCCGGCCTGGTGGGGCCGATTCCGCCGGACACGCTGGGAAGGCTCTCTCAGCTCAGAGTCCTCAGTCTCCGCTCCAACCGCCTCTCCGGCGAGATCCCCTCCGATTTCTCCAACCTGACTCTCCTCCGCAGCCTCTACCTCCAGAACAACGCCTTCTCCGGCGAGTTCCCCGCGGGAGTGACTCCATTGGTTCGGCTGACGCGGCTCGACCTCTCCTCCAACAACTTCACCGGCCCGATTCCGTTCGCTGTCAACAATTGGACTCGCCTAACCGGTCTGTTCCTCGAGAACAACGCGTTCTCCGGCCCGCTCCCTTCCATTTCAGCTAATTTGGCTGATTTCAATGTCTCCAACAACAACCTCAACGGCTCAATCCCTAGAAATTTACAGAGGTTCCCCGCCGCGGCATTCGCCGGGAATCTAGATCTCTGCGGCGGTCCTTTACCTCCCTGCAATCCCTTCTTCCCTTCCCCCAGCCCATCCCCTTCCACAATTCAACCCATCCTCCCTTCCCACAAAAAATCGAAAAAACTCTCCACCGCCGCCATCGTTCTAATCTCCGTCGGCGCAGCCCTAGCCCTGCTCATCCTCCTCCTCTTGCTCTTCTGCTGCCTCCGGAAGAAACAGAGACAGCAGTCCCCCAAACCTCCGAAGCCAGTGGGAGCCGCCGCCAGATCCATCCCCCTCGAAGCCGGCGGGACCTCCTCTTCCAAAGACGATATCACCGGCGGCTCGGCCGAGGCCGAGCGGAACAAGCTGGTGTTCTTCGAAGGAGGCGTCTACAGCTTCGACCTCGAAGATCTGCTGAGAGCCTCGGCGGAGGTCCTCGGGAAAGGTAGCGTCGGCACTTCGTACAAGGCCGTGCTCGAAGACGGCACCACGGTCGTCGTCAAGCGGCTGAAAGACGTGGTGGTTACGAAGAAGGAATTCGAGATGCAGATGGAAGTTTTGGGGAAAGTTCGGCACGACAATGTGGTTCCGTTCAGAGCCTTCTACTTCTCCAAAGACGAGAAGCTTCTCGTCTCCGATTACATGGCCGCCGGCAGCTTATCGGCTCTCCTACACGGTACGTTTTTTCCCCCACACAATTTATTATTTTTTAGTAAAATTAAATTCCGTATAGATATTTTTTTCCGGTGATTGATTGGGGCGGTGATAAATGATTCCTACCTAATTGTGTCCTAATTAGGTTGGTTTTTTCCTTATTAAGAGTTTGACCAGAGAAATAAGTCATTTTCCCATCCAGGGATGATTTACTAATTACCCTTTATCTATTCAAAATCATAATAATTATGATTATCGTCAGGTCGGTCGGCAATTAAGTGTTGTTTACCGTGCTTAGACTCTTGTTGGTGTCAAATTTTTAAAGAGAACCCTGATTTTTGAGTAATTAATTAACTATTTCCCCTGATTAATTATAATAATTATCATTAGTGGACGAATTTGTTCGCATGTTGTGTTGAATTTATTTATTTACGAAAAAGAGGGACCATTAAGCTGAAATGTTGGTTGACAATTGAAATAATTAGGGTTTGTAAGTAAGTAGAATAAATTATAAGAGCGGTGCAGGATTGGGAACAAGAAAACATTCTTAGAGTGAGGTATACGCCAGCTGAGTGGCGCGTTATTAGTTTGATTGTTTGTTCTTAAGCTCTGTGATGCCCCCATTGCCGCATCAAGAAGGCTCATGATTTGGCACCACAGAGAATTCAATCACCATTGCCACTTCCATTTCTTCCTCTTAGTTGTTTTTGCTTTGTTATATTTCCCTTTCGCTGATGGGTCTAATGATTAAAGAAATGTCGCCCAACCATCCACCGACATCATTCGGTTTCCCTCCTCTCACCACTTTTTACTTTTCTTTCCCTTTCTTCAAGATATCCTCATTCTGTGTCAATTTTTTTTAACTGTGGTTTTGAACTTTAGAACCCTACTTTTACTTTTTACCGTGGGTGGGAAGGGTGTAAATGGTGAGCAAGTGAACATAGGATTCAGTGGAGTTGCTTTCTTTTTAATCACTGTGGTTGTAATGGGTGCCAGAACTGAAGCCTGCTGCCCTACTCACTGAGTCCCAGTCTGAGCTTTGAGTCATAACCTTTTTTCTTGATGAACTCGTACAGGGGCAGAGCCATTACTTTGGACTTTCTTCCTTTATTGAGTGCATCCATGGTGCAATTTCTTGTTCTCTTCGCCCATGAACGTGGCCTGTTTTTGACCATATTTACCTAGAGAACCGTGCTTAATTGTCCTTGTTTGAACTTTGGAGCCTCCCTTTCCCTCCAATATAGCCTACCAAGATTATCCTCTTAGCACAAAACGATGAGCCCATTGATTCATATGCTTTGCTTAATAAAGAAACTATCTTCCTTTACTAGGAAAGATACCTTCAAATCATAAAGATGGGAGACTGTAGTCTATCTGTAATTTGAATTTCAGTCCAGTGTTAGTGATGGAAAGTGGTTGTTTGGTAGGGTTTGTAATTCATCAACCGTATCACGACTTTTGTGGCTGATTGGATCATTACATTACACATGCTTCAATTTAGTTCATGTATGTGGAAAATCTTACCATCTAGTCGAACAGGACACTAAAAAGCTACCAACTTTACTGTCAATTTCACTGATTTTAGTTTATACCCGTTTACTATTATGAAACTGGTTTTAATTCCAAGTCCCCATTTGGCATCGTGGGTTTTTTTCCTTTCTGCAGGAAGCAGAGGCTCTGGCCGGACACCATTGGACTGGGACAGCAGAATGAGGATAGCATCAAGCACAGCAAAAGGGCTCGCCCACCTCCACATGGCGGGGAAAGTGCCCCACGGCAACATTAAGTCGTCCAACATCCTCCTCCGCCACCAGGACCACCACGACGCCTCCATCTCCGACTACGGCCTCAACCCTCTCTTCGGCACCACCACCCCACCCAGCCGCGTGGCAGGCTACCGCGCCCCTGAAGTCCTCGAGACCCGAAAAATGACCTTCAAATCCGACGTCTACAGCTTTGGCGTCCTCCTGCTCGAGCTCCTCACGGGGAAAGCGCCCAACCAGGCCTCCCTCGGCGAGGAAGGGATTGACCTGCCGCGGTGGGTCCAGTCCGTGGTCCGCGAGGAGTGGACCGCCGAGGTCTTCGATGTCGAGCTCATGAGGTACAACAACATCGAAGAGGAGATGGTGCAGCTGCTGCAGATCGCCATGGCGTGCGTCTCGACGGTGCCCGATCAGCGGCCCGAGATGGCGGAGGTCGTGAGGATGATCGAGGAGGTGAATCGAGGCGAGATGACGACAACGGACGATGGGTTGAGGCAGTCTTCCGATGATCCGTCGAAAGGCTCTGACGGCCAGACTCCTCCCGCTGAGTCCAGGGCCACTGCTACCAGTACCAGCGCCGTTACGCCGTGATGAGTGGGGAAAACATTTTTTTACAAAAGAGGAGGGGAAAACGTCGTCGTTCGAGTGGGATTTGCACAGAGTTCATAAGTGAAGTGGAGGACCCTTTTGTTTCTTTATTAAGCTGATTTTGTTTTTGGTTTATTTTCAAATTTTTTGGAGGGTCTTTTGGGGGGTTTCTTTTTTCTTTTTAATATATTTTATTTGTTAGGTTTTGAAATTTATTTTTCCTTTTTATCTTATTCCCAGAAATGTCAAGTTGCAAAGGTTATTATTCTTTCACAGGTGGGAATGAACTGGCTGGCTGGAATTTAACCATAATTATTTATTGACCAAGTGTTGGACTGTGCTGTTTTATTATTTTATTTTATTTTAGTTTAGAAAATACTAGTATGTGACAAGTAAGAATTTGTCATGACAGCATTGGAATTCTTGGGTGTTTGGCAGAGGGTGGTTTGTCGCTGTGTTGGGTGGATTTATATAATAAACAGGGGATTTCAGGTTTGGTCTAATGCAGCCATTCGGGGGAAAAGGGGGCTCCGTTGTGGATTCTCAGTAGAATAATACAAACTTTCCCACCGTCAATAATGTACAACTAGCTCGCTAGCTGACGGGGGGTGGGAAGCTTCTGGAAGGCCGTGGGTTTCATCTTGCATTATTGATTAGGACGTAATACCGCGATCCAATTACTGTTACGAATGTTAGGATCGTAGCTCGATATCAATTTGACTACTATATTTTGCACTATGTTGTTTCGACTTTCGAACAATGCTTGTTATAAAGATAAGCGTAACTGCATGAAGACTCGTAACTGTTCATTTTTTTCTTCTTCCATTTCACACAAACCATACTTTCTTCTCTAAAGAGGATTATTTAATCAGGCTGTAACCCAATACCTCAAAATTAATGCAACTTAAACTCCATAAACCGTGTTAATTTCCCCTGTCTAGGATTTTGTTGTTGTTGGTGAAACTTTTTTTCTTTCTTTCTTTCTGTGAGTGGTTGCTTGCTTTTGGGTGTGCCACGTGGAGGACAGTGCCCTGTAAACCTGTAATGGAGGGGGTGGTGAACAGGCTGGCTGGGCTTTTTTGAGGTTGACCCTTTTTTTCCCCTGTCTAGTCTCATGCAGAGAATGGGCCCACTTCCATAGCGCTTCCCATGGGACCCATTTGTCGTGCTGCCTGACTTCGCCCTAAATTGCTCCTTTCACTCATTTGAAATCCGCCACGTGTCACCACATTTTTCAAATGACAAAACTAACCCCGCTACTTGGCTGCATGTAGGGGTGGAATCGGTACGGTATTGGTATCCCAATACCAAATACCAAATTCCAAATACCGAATTACACCCTAAAATCAATCATAATCTTAATCCCTAAATAATTTCGGTATCTCAATCCCAATTCCTAAATAATTTTGGTATCCCAATCGGTATTATCGAATACATAATTAATTATCTTTGCAATTAATAATTAAATATATAAATTAGATTTTGTTGTTTAATTTAGGGCAAAGAGACTAAGCAAATAGTCTTGAGTTGCCTAGAACTAACATCTCAAGTTCTTGTAATTAGTAATCTTTAATTTGAAGAATTTGAGGTTGAGAGACGACTAATACTAGTATGAAATAGTGATGTAATGATCTATGTATAATTAAATGACGCTTTTGGTGGTTGAGGGTCGCGTAGTATTGAATGGGAGAGTCTAGTTGAGAGGATAAAATACACACTAGCTTATATTTCGGTATTGATCGGTATTTCGGTATATACCAATCTCAATCCCAATCCCACAAAATAATACGTATATTTGGTAATACCAAATATAGACAAATTCGGTACGGTATTCGGTATATCCCAAATATTAGTACCAAACTTCCAGTTGCATGCACCTGCACCTGTTGCCAGCAGGCCTTGGGGTTGAACTGTACGTGGGCACCGGGCCGTGCCGCCCACGGGCTAGCACGACACGACATGGTTAGAGCACGACACGAGCACGGGCACGAAATAAATGGGAAAGCCTGGCACGAATACGAATAATTCATGGGCACGAGCACGGGCACGACACGGTATATAAGTGGGCCGTGTCGGGCCTTATATTTTTTAGATTTTATTGAGTATAAGAAAGGACATGGCACGAAAATAATATTTATTTGATAGAAAATAAATATAAAAAGAATTATAGGTTCAAATATTACAAAACACAAGTAGAAAAATAATTATTTGTTGTTGTTAGAAGTGTCATAAAAATATTTACGTAATTACTAACATAAGTAAAAATGGACAAAGAATTAAACAAAGCCAAATCACACTCGCTATACTTCCAATTTTCTTTTCCCCTTATCTGTTACTTTTCTCAAACATTATCGGTTAATCCTATCTTCCCCCGTCCAATTTTCACCTTCTTTTTCATTCTCTCTTTTGTTTTCGTCCTTTTCATTAAATACGAATACGAGCATGGCACGAGCACGAATAGGCACGACACGATTCAAACCGTGCCCGGACCTAGGTCGGGCCTAGCTAAGTTAACAAATGGGCTTGCATAGCACGACACGAAAAATGACGGGCCGTGCCAAGCACGGCACGAAATAAATGGTCCGAAGCATGCCCGTGTCGTGCCGGTCCAAGCACGACCCAACCCCATGTACAGGTTTAACCGAGTGGTGCCCGATCTGGTTATGGTGCTGACAATTCATCTGTTAAAATTACAGGTCGTGTCTAGGAATGTCAAAAAGTAAAACCGTCTATGAGTTTTCGTGCGGTTTTCACAAATTAAATCGAGATTGTATTTGTGGTTTAGTTCGATTGCACCGATTGACCAAGGGTGTTTGCGACTTGGTTCATGACGATGTGGTATGTGGCGTGATTCAACCGGACTCTTCCTCAATTAACACAAACTAATTTTGGCGGCAATATGTAATTTAGACATTTGGATTCACACATCCTAAGTAAGATAATGGTCTAGTAATTGCTTGTTTCTGTCTAATATGCTTGTTAGGCGGCCGTACTCCAAATGTTCCCCTGCTAATGTTCCTTTCTCTTGTACTATAAACAGCCATCGAAATGGTCAAGAGTTTAGGGGAGAGTGTGATTCGATGCCGTTTGGGTAGTTTTCCTTGTTGTCATTAAGTTAGTGTCATCCATCTGTTCAACATGCATGTGATGGCTGATGAGCTGTGGATCTTCTTTTTTTGAGTGATGTCCTGTTTTTGTAGGATGATCATCACTAGGGTTTTGTTATTGTAACGAGTATAAGAGGTCAGTTAGAAGTTGAGATTTCAGACGATGTAATTATGAGAGTTTGTCATTTTTTTTTGTATTAAAAGGAGATGCAATATTTTTATTTTGTGTAGAAGATGAGACCGCAAGAATTTTTCATTGTAGATGATTGTTAATCTCTCTTTTCTTTTCTTCTTCATTTTTTGAGGGACCACCAAAATCGTTCAATTTCCAAACAATGTAATTTTCAAATTCATAATGCATTTAATTAGAATACATAAAATTGATTATATACATCAATTTAGAGAATCTCTACTACCAAACATGGCCTAAGATTTGCAAAACGTGTTTTTATGTAATGGGTTGATACCGGGTATGTGAAAAGTCTTGTGTTTGAATCATTTGAATAACAATATTTACGTTTTGGATTAAATGTTTGTCCAACTTAGACCGATATTGCTAAGATTAAGGAGTTTTGATATGTCATGACTGTTAGTAAATTACATCCCGGGACCATGCATAACTCACAAGTCACAACTGCTGGACTATGCATATTATATCCCCTTTCCCTTGGGTGGCAGTTGGCACCTTTTGCTAATAAGTCTTTTATCTATATGGACTGTCTTAATCAGCTGAGGTTCATTACTTCTTTTGACTTCAAAATGGGGAAAATATATAAATATACTCTCATTTACGGATGCATTGCATCTTCATTTGATCGGATTTGATTTCCAAATAATTCCAATTTTATTGACCAATATTGAATAAAAAATGAGTTGGGTTAGGATACAAAATCTAGCTAGGGACTACAAAACTTACAAAACTCGCGTCTTATCATCCTGATACAAAACATACCACCCTAATAAGATCGTATTAGTTAGTGTGGTATGATTAAGGGGTGGTAAAACACAAACTTTATAGGTTTTCAATTCTAGATTTTGTACCAAAACCCATGGGATACAAAATCTTTGTCTTATCATCTCGATACGAAACATACTACCCAATACGATCGTATTATTTAGGATGGTATGACTCGTATAAAAAGTGGTAAGGCACAAAATTTAAAGGTTTGCCGTTCTAGATTTTGTATCCGTGTCATTTCTCTTTTGAAAATGTGTGGACTTTCATGAACATTATTTACGATTTGCTTGTACTCTCGAAAATTATGAAACTTATTGATACATCTTCATTACTTTATAAATTCATCAAATAACTATTATAAGGACAAAGCAATGAATAAAAAAAAATTACATAAATGAGTGGTAGACCATAATTATATAATTAAGGGGTCGTTTGCTTGTTGGATTTGGGTCGTGGATTTGGTACTCAAATCCCAAGCTTGATGGATTTAACATAAGTCCATTGTTTGTTGAAGAGTGCTAAATCCGTGGGGTCCACGGATTTGGTCTTTATTTTGGAACCAAATCCGTGGACCCCACGGACTTGTAAATCCCACATATTGATTTGGGATTTGCAAATCCTTGATGGTTAGTTATTTATTTAACAAATCCATCATCAAATCTATCATGCAAACATTAGACTCTTCAAATCCATAATCCAATAAATCCAACATAAATCCCAAGGTTTTTATTGGCCAAAACCCTCATTTTTCGAATCCAACTAGCAAACGACCCCTAAGTAAACCCAACGTAGTGGGAAATGGGATGGACATATCATATATAGGGTGAACAAACACCCTCGCAAACCGATCCATCCGTTCAACCCATCCGTATTTATTGTTAAACTAACGTTTAGGGTTGGGTGAGGATTGTTTTTTGTACAACCCGCCTCTTTTGGGTTGAGTGTGGATTTTGGATTACACAACCCGTAGAACTCGACCCAACCCGTATTCCAATTATTGGCATGAGTTCTCGTATCCAAAAAATATTGATGTCGTATATAGCCATATTTATGAGAAAATTAAGATATTTCGCCATATTTTTCTCTCATGGTCTCTCTAATCTAATGCATTCTTTGGCTTAAAGTTTAGACATAGATTTAAATATAGCTATGATTCACGTTATCCTTTTTCTTGTGTACAATTTTAATAGAATAACATATTATGGATGCGTTTGTTTATAACCACTTTAGCCTATTTCGACAAATGTCGTGAAAAAAACTAGACATATGTTGAACTAAATCACATTTTATTAAAATTCAAAGAACATTTGTGCATTTTGATACCTTTCACTTGGTTTTTTCATTTAAAATTTTAATTAGTTATAAAATATTTTTATGGTGTAGAATAATTATATATTTTATGTTGAGTTGGGTTTTTACTTAAAAATTTCGCCAACCTGACCCAACCAAATTAGAAACAAACCGTAGGGTTTTTATCTTTTTGGGTGAGTTTTGATTTAATATTTTCCAAACCATAGTGCATGGATCGGGTGATTAAATGACTAAACCCGAACCACCTAACCCATGTACACTCCTAATATATACCACAATCACGAATTCACAACCACCACTCTATTATATGTTGTGTCTGTATGTGGGCACCGGGCCGTGCCGTCCACGGGCTAGCACGACACGGCACTGTTAGAGCACGACACTAGCACGGGCACGAAATAAATGGGCTAGCACGGCACGAGCACGAATAATTTATGGGTCGTGCCGGGCCTAAACTTCATGGGCACGGGCACGAGCACGGGCACAACACAGTATACAAGTGGGCCGTGTCGGGCCTAATATTTTAGAGACTTTATTGAGTATAAGAACGGACATGACACGAAAATAATATATATTTGATAGAAAATAAATATAAAAGAATTATAGGTTCAAATATTACAAAACAAAAGTTGAAAAATAATTACTTGTTGTAGTTAGAAGTGTCATAAAGATATATACGTTATTACTAACATAAGTAAAAATGGACAAAGAATTAAACAAAACCAAATCACACTCGCTATACTCCTAATTTTCTCTTTCCCCCTTATTTGTTACTTTTCTCAAACATTATCGGTTAGTACTATCTTCCTCCATCTAATTTTCAACTTCTTTTTCATTCTCTCTTGTGTTTTCGTCCTTTTCATTAAACACGAATACGAGCATGGCACGAGCACTAATAGGCACGACACGATTCGACACGAAAACTGACGGGCCGTGCCAAGCACGACATGAAATAAATAGGCTCGAAGCGTGCTGGTGCCTAGGGGTGTTCAAACGGTGTGCCATGGTAACCGTTTCAACCAGTACTATTTGGATAATTTGGTTTGGTTAATTTGGAATAATTGGTTTGATTTGGTTAAAGTTTTTAGCTTGTTTGGTTTAGGTGGTTTGGTTTGGTTTCAGACACTCCTAACCAGTAAAACCAAATTAACCAGATAAATAATTAGCCATATATATAATATTAATATATACACATACTTAATACTTTGAATAACCACTCAAGAGTTAAACGGTCATCCCTTTTAGGCTCATAAAATATAAAGCTTGATATTGTTCTTATAATGTATATTTGTATTGTAGAGTGTAGACCACAACATATGAACGCGTAATTTAGATAAATCTCATACATTATGTTGGATGAAAACTTGAAAACAAGGTCTTTTTCAGCCTATGAAAATTGCTAAAAGACTAAGTCAATTCAAACAAACACAACAATTCATTAACACATACCATTGTGATAAATTTTTGCTAGGTGAATACTTCTATACTAACCGTAAGATAATTGTCTTAGTTGCATGTATTTATGTTAAAGGTCAACTATAACCAAGTGTTGATTGTTATGTTTTATTCATTATATAAATTATGAATTGATAAATTAACCTAAATTTTTCTTACTTAATGATAATGTGATTTTATATTGGTTAATCTGGTTAACCAATTAATCAAACCGATTAAACTTTAGTTTGGTTAATTTGGTTGTTGTATTAGTTTGGACGGTTTGATTATGATATTGTATACCATGCTTAATGAAATTTAACCTTATTTGGTTTAGTAACAACCATGGTAACCATTTGAACACCTCTACCCGTGCCGGCCCAATCACAACCTAACGCCCATGTACAGTGTGTCACAAAAACGTATATGGTCTTGTTGCTTTCCCCTTTTTCTCTTCTTTAAATATGGGGATTTGTTTTATAGGTGGGTGTGTTTTCATGATCATATTGTCTGTCTGTAGGGCAAAGCTAATTTGGCCCACACTTTTGATAAATCAATGTCATCGTCAAGATCATCAATTCCCTTTCACAATAAAATTAACAATTTGGAATGCATGGGGGAATATAAGAAGCCAAGACGGTCCAAAAACCTATCTAAATAATGGAAGAAAGAAGAGAGAAATGTCAAAGGAGTAGCTACTTTCTCACACATAGTACAAATTATAGTAACTTGGTTTGGTGGTGGTGGAATGAAACTTTAGTTCCCAAGGTAGAACTAGCATTCAGGTGTTTCGTAGGACTGATTATGCACTTTAAATTTTGGTTATTACATGAAATCTGTTGATGTTCATTATTTTTTTAAGCGTGACGATCCCATTATTTACGTATATCGTGAGAAAAACTTTGTAGCATATAGTCTACTAGGGTCTAGAGGTGTGCATTCTTTTTTTTTTTTTTTTTGTATATTGATAATCAAGATTTCGTTTAGTCTATTTGTTCATGTATGATACCTTTTATATTTCAAGATCTAAATCAGTTGATAATGCACGATATATAGTGGCAACAAATGAGAAGTAAAAAGAGGAATGACCATGAACATGATGAAGATCAACAAGTTGTTAGACCATAGTACACGACTGGCTTATTACTATTACTAAACTTGTATCAAATATCAATGATGGCACTAAGCACTTAGGTGAATTATGGTGTGGCATCACGTACACTCCATGCCATCCACAACATCATGATCTATATAAAAAAGAGTGAGTTGGAGAGAATGATTGGAAAAGGTAGCCACTCAATAATGGCTAATATTAGATGCAAGCAAAAGCCCCAATGGCCAATCCAAACTCAGTTGCGCCCCCTTGGGCATATTAATTGTTGAATTGTGGACTCTAAACTAGGAACAAAGTTAATCTCTTCAGCCTAAGCGCCAATTAAGCAAAAATATCCTTTTATAATCTCTCCCTCCCCAACAACTGGCCAAATAATCAACTAGTTCCCACTTGTTATAAATTATTCTTCTACACAATAATGTCAGCTCGTATTGATGCCTGCCCTTCCCTTTAAACATGTCAGCAAAATTTCAAATTCCTTATACTATTCGATCATTTTTGTCATACATTTTCAAGTTAAATTACCTTCTAACCATAGTTTAGATGAGACAGGTTAAATTTTGGCACCACAATTAGCAGGTGAATCATTAAAATAACCTGGATCAAGAGTATAGCTCGTAAGACAAAGTAACCTCAAGACAAAGTAATGCCATATATAGTATAGCTCTACATTTGCCTTGCCTTGAAAGCTCATAAGAGAACAGTGTGTTCAATATCAAACTGTAGCCTCCTTTCCCTGCCAAGTACAATTACATCAGTCATAATCCACAATTATATTCTCATCTTAAACCTCTAAATCTCACTATGATTTCTGGGTTGGCAGAACTCAAATCACTCAAAGTTTGTACATCATAATGTGAGGACATTATTATATATGACTGGTCATAAAAGGAGGATTTCAATCCCATCTTTTGCATTATTATACTACAGCTTCAGCTTTTTAGATGGCCACAATGTTACCCCAAAGCTGAAACTAGAGAAACAGAAAGCAGACCTGGAGGATTATCAGTCACCAGTAGTTACTGAAATGGGGAGAGGTTCCCTTTTCAGAAAAAAAAGACAGAAGATGAAAGCCCCATATCAGCCCATAACTTGTCTGCCATTGTCCCCACCTTCTTAGCTGGTGCCTTGTGAATGAAGGATGAAAGAAACTCCCAAGTTGGGATCATGTGCTCAAGGTTTGCCATGGGAAATCCACAGGCAAGTCATTAGCTGGCCTTATCAGCAAATATATATTCTCTGTTTCTATGGACATAAAAATATTAAAATTTATATCTTTGTTTCTACGGCATAACATCAACAGCGTTTGTAGTCCAACGGTTAGGATAATTGCCTTCCAAGCAATAGACCCGGGTTCGACTCCCGGCAGACGCATTTTTATCTTTTTATTCTGCAACCCATTTTTCCTTGAACTCCAAGCAAGCAATTCCTGAAACTGAAATACATCCCGGGAAAGGAAATTTAACCAAAATCACAACATTCACATTATCTTAGCATTCCAGGAAGAAGCTGCTCTTCCAAATCCCGATCAGCAGACGCCACAGCTTTCTTCTTCCCCGTCCTGTCAACTTTCTGCTGCTGTTGCTGCAGATGCACAACCACGGCTACAGCAATCACAGCAGCTGCTACCATCATGTTCCTCAGGTTCCCATAGTAATCGTGTTCCTTGATGTCGATCCTCGGCAAACCATACCATTTCTCCTTACCACGAGCCACAGGATATCGAACGCATTCATATACCTTGACGAACACGCTTAACGCTGTGAAACCAATGTAGTACGAACTCGTCAAGGCCTTTGTCGCCTGCTGCTGCTTACCTCCCCCTCGGTTCCACAAGGCGTTCCCAATAGCTTGAGGAGCAAGAAACAGATCCACAACAATCCCAGGATAGCCGGTCAGCCCTTGGAACACATCGTTGGTTGCCTCTTCTGTGGGCCAATGCGTGTACTTGTACTGTATGAAGTTCAGTTCTGGCTCGTTGGAGGAAGCAGCACGTTGTGCTTCGTCGTGGTTGAGGAGGGAAATGTGCAGAGACAGAAAGAAGCCAGCTGCAAGAACGGCTGAGGTGATGAAAAAAGCTTTCGTGTCCCTCAAGTTTAGTTGAGCTCTTTCGTCGTGATGAGGTGCTCGTGATTGTATAACTTTCTTCCAAAGCTGCAGAGTACGCGCGAGGGCAAACACGAGAAGGAACTTGGTCACGAGGTCTGAAAGATAGTCATGTTGTGGGGAAAACATAGCCTCTATGCTGGTGTAGAGTGGGAGGCCATAGCCATAAGCTTGAATAGCAACCATGGTGATGGACACAGAAGCTGCTGCAATGGTGGTGTTGGGGTTGTCCCTCTTCTTGGCAGTCATGTAATTCAGTTGTCTGGCTATAAGCTGAACTGAAATTGCCAGCATCAGTAGACGGAGAGTCCTCTCGAATGTCTCTCGGAACATCATGTCATCTGGTTGCCCCAGATAGGGAAATGGAGTCATTAGACTGACTGAGGGGAAATAGAATGGATCTGAATTGTCTCTTCTGCTGTTGATTGAGATTCTAGCCCTGGGATACAGCAGCCACCTTGTACTTGTAGAGGGATACTCTACTCTTATCTCATATTCACAATCCATCCCTTCTTCAACGCTGCTGACATTTCGAAACCCTCCAATGTCTCTGCAGCCAACTAGATGCATCTGTCCAGTGAGTTGGTTATATATGCCTTCGAAAGAGAGCGAAATGTCGTATGGAGACTTGAGTTTGAGAAGCCCCGAGACTTCGATCATGCTTTCTTCTTCTTCTGGATCGATATCGTGAGTACTTCTCTTGTTCCCAAGGTTCCAGCCCCAAATGAACGATCCTAACGAGAGAACCTCTAGCTCAACAGCTCCAACATTGATTGTAAGCTCCTCTGCTAAAACAGATGAGGTGGGGGGAGCTCCATTTCTGCCCAAAGATGGATAAAAAAGGAGAGAGGATCCAAGATTTAAAAACAAACTTCTGTTTTGCCCTCTCTCCAATTTTCTGGCTTGCTTAAGCACAAGTTTTGAGTACTTGTATGACTGACTCAAGTACAAAGACTCCCAAGGACGGAATGCCTTCTCAAACAACAGAGCGGGGACATTGGTCTCATTGTCTCCATTGATGCTTGAGACTGAAACAAAGATGATCCGTCGTTCTGTGATCGACAGCTCGAGAGGAATCGACAAGCATACCCTTGAGTCGCACGATCTGTTAGCAGAGGAACGACGATGTTCGGTGATGCTTCCAACACAAGCAACCATGCAAAGCTCGTGACCGCTCCTCCATATCCCTTCTGCAGAAAGTGTCATGGTGGACAGTCCAGTTCTTCCACTGTTAGTACTCAATTTATCCCGGGCATCAACGACTCTCAGCACAGCAGCTACTTTGGCAGCTGTGATGTTCCCATCACCATGTTGTTGACATTGCACATGATGAATGAGAATCCCTAGTGGGCTGCTTGCATCTATGGTGCCGCTTTCAAGAGTAAATGGCCCGAGCTTATTGCTGCTTTGATCGTTGTTGCTCGATCCTGTTGATTGTACCACCAAGTCCAGAATATCATTGTTTACAATGTCTCTTAGGGTTTGACAGAATCCATCTCCTTCATAACACTTCACCTTGTTCTGATCCAATTTTGAGCTGCAAGCTTCAGACAGAAGCTGCTCATCAGCAGAGAACTGATACTCAGAATGGTAGCTCAGCTGAGAGGATATGTGGATCTTATCAAAGTAGTTCTCATCAGATTTCCCCCCAAAGCTTATCATTTCACCAAAAACACCTCTGCTACTAAAAGTGAAGACTTTTGGGTACCTCAAAACCAGCATGATCTGATCATTCTGAGCCGAAGGAGGCTGGTGATTGTCCCCTTCCATGCAGTCGGGGCACTTAAGTTTCGCGCGATGAACAAGCTCGATATCGGTTTGGTTCATGGAAGGCATTGATGTGTTCCCAAGTAAGCACATTACCCTCTCTTCATTCCTTTCAAAGTAAACCCCTTCAAGCTCAACCGAAAGACTGAAAGAAGCATTTGAAGACCTCTCATTAGTCGATGATAGCTCCAGCCTCCCACTGAGACTGACCATGTCATAGGACCGACGGACTGAATCGACATCCGTGACCTCGAAGGAAGCTGACTTGAACACAGAAGTACTATCAGTGGATGGTAGATTATGATGTTCAAACGGTGAACCACCAGTTTCCTGAACCCAATCTCCGTTGACGAACGAGAGTTCGTCCTCGATTCTGCTGACTCTGTCGCCATCAGGAGCCAATGGAGAAAGTGGTGATGATGATGAGAGGAGAGCACTGCTGCCACCAACACACCTGTCTTGAATCTCAAGGAACCTGCTGTGTGTGTATATTGTTGCTAGGGAAAATTTATGATCGAATGGTGAGTCGAGTTCGTTCGATGAGAGGGTGAAGGTTGGGAAGTAGAGAGGCCATGCTAGTGTCATCATCAGTAGCAGCCATGAATGTAGCCTCAGAGGCGGTGGAATGTCCATTGGCCGAAAAGGCTGAAAAATGAACCTCTTTGATTCTGTTTGTTTTTCTTCTTCTTCTTCTTCTTCTTTTTTGTACTACAAGGTTGAGAAGATGACAATGGATGGTTTGTCTCTTTTGTAGTGGGTTCCCCATTTTCTTGAGTCCCACGTCTCTTGTTTTCTATTAATCACTGCAATTATTAGAACCTTAATCAAAGGAATAAACAGAGTCAACTGAGGTAATGAGTTGAACATGGAAAACCCACACATTTTTTTTTCCTGTTAAAAAGTGTGTTGACTATTGAGGGAAGCAACTAGGAAACAGGTTGCAGCTAGTTAGCTAGAATTTGAGGAAGGATAAATGATCGTTTAACAAATAAGATAAGCTGACAATAAGGCTTTTGACAATGTAATCACGTTTTTAATGGCAACATTGAGTTCTCTAGGAAACTCAAGGTTTAAAAATGCGTTAGGTGATCAATATGTATTATTAGTTAGAATTATTAAGACTCGAGATTTTCACTATTTCATAGGGCTTACCCTTTTAAGCCCAGATTACTGTTCATAGCCCCATAAATTTGTAATCCCCTGCGGCCATGCGTAATTTACCGAATGCAAAACCTTCGCCACTGACAGAGCATCTCAATTTTTAATTATTCCCTCTCTTTATACAAGTGGACAGTGGTTGTAGTGTTGGGCTGACCAAGTATACGATCTGTTCATCTTTTTCTTCATTATTTAATTTCAACCCTTTGGGTCCGTAACTTTATTTCTCCTTCCCAATCCCATCAACATTCTTCCTCCTTCCCAATCCATACAATTAGGGGTGGAAATCAGTACAGTATCGGTATCTCAATACTAAATATTGAAATCTCGAATACCGAATTACACCTTAAAGTCAATCTCAATCTCAATTTCGAAATAATTTCGGTATCTCAATTTCAATTCCTAAATATTTCGGTATCCCAATTGATAATTCGGTATCCCAATCGGTATTATCGAATATGAAATTAATTATCTTTACAATTAATAATTAAATAATATATATATATATATATATATATATATATATATATGGTGGCGTATTCAGTGCACCCACTTTTTTGGGTGCACTCAGTACACCCGCCTCATAATTGTCATTCTGAGCATGTGATTCATGTCAAAACGGTATCAATTGTTGCTTATGATATTATGAACAAGAAGCACATGAATTTGAAAAAAAATTCATTCAAAATTTACTTTAATTTGAAGGATTTAGGATTTAGGGATTTAGGGTTAGGGATTAGGTTTACAATTTGGGATTTTGGATTGGGATTCAAAATTGAAGGTTAAGGGGTTAGGGTAATTGATTGGTTTGTTATGATTCTATGTCATATCATCATATTAGATTGAGAGTACTAATTAAAGTTCAAAATTTGATGTAATATGGACACTTTTAAAGTGGGTGCAAAGTGAGTGCGCCGAAGTAGGCACCATACATATATATATATATATATATATATATATATATATATATATATATATATATATATGGGGAGTTCTACGGTACCCCGGGTGAAATCCGGGGTACCGCATACCTTAAGTATGAAAACGCTATCTAGAACTTGAATTGACTGATCTTTCGGACATTATACTATACTCTAACCCATAAAGATCAAAATCTAGGTCTTAATTCTCTAAATCTTATACCCCAAGATCAATTTAATTAGAAACAATAATCGACGGTTATGATTCGTCCAAATATAGGCAAAAAAAAGTAATGCAGCATCTTAGGGTTTATAGGTAATGATTAAGATAATTAGGACCCAGGGTTCACTCATTAAGGGTTAGGGTATAGTATCATGCCCAAAAATCCTGCTAATTCGAGGTCTAGATAGCGTTTTCATACTCAAGGTATGCGGTCCCCCGGATTTCACCCCGGGTACCGTAGAACTCACCATATATATATATATGGGTTACACTCGTATGCTCTAGACGCATAGCATGCTCCAGGTTCTCTTCACCGTTGATCTAATCTAATGGTACACTATTAATTTCATTAAAACTATTTTTTTAATTATAATTACGAACTACACCTACTAAAAATTTATACATACGGTATAGTCCCCTAACAATTTTAATCATTAATTTTTACCCAAAATCAAGTTATTCTTCTTGACATAGTGTAAGTCACCTAATTGTTTACATTTCTTTCACGATTAGAATCTCAATTGAATTTTTTTCGTTGAACAAACCGAATGGAGCATCTCACCATCTTCTTTCTCATCTATTTTTCATTTTGTAAAATCCCCCTTCACAATCCACTTTTTACTTTTACATCAATTAACTAACCCTCAAGAACAGAGAAAACAAACCCAGTAAACCAAGAACAAAATTGCAGTAAAAGACCCCCTTCCCTTTCATCACACCTCTCCGCCACCAAAAGCCCTATGTTTTTTTGAGAATTCAAAAGCCCTCTGTTATGCAACGCTGTAGTGTATTAGGGAACGAATCATTTATCCGGGCACTCTAAAATTAGCAGGGAACACGAAAAGCCTCTGTTATGCAACGCCGTTGTTTCCTCGCGACTCTTCTTCTATCTCTCCTATTATCAACTCCGGCCACAAGAATTCCCCTGCCGTGATGCGAGGTCCTCTTTTCATCGCAGCCTCTGCTATTTTTCAACTGCGTCCTTTTAATGGTCATACACTGTGAACTGATTCCGGTTTGTCGAGAAAGGCACCAGTCCGCTACACCGGGACGAGGATGTGGTGGAGTTGATGCCTATCGGAAGCCGAGATGAGCTCGAATACCGAATTACACCTTAAAGTCAATCTCAATCTCAATTTCGAAATAATTTCGGTATCTCAATTTCAATTCCTAAATATTTCGGTATCCCAATTGATAATTCGGTATCCCAATCGGTATTATCGAATATGAAATTAATTATCTTTACAATTAATAATTAAATAATATATATATATATATATATATATATATATATGGTGGCGTATTCAGTGCACTCAGTACACCCGCCTCATAATTGTCATTCTGAGCATGTGATTCATGTCAAAACGGTATCAATTGTTGCTTATGATATTATGAACAAGAAGCACATGAATTTGAAAAAAAATTCATTCAAAATTTACTTTAATTTGAACGATTTGGGATTTAGGGATTTAGGGTTAGGGATTACGTTTAAAATTTGAGATTTTGGATTGGGATTCAAAATTGAAGGTTAAGGGGTTAGGGTAATAGATTGATTTGTTATGATTCTATGTCATATCATCATTTTAGATTGAGAGTACTAATTAAAGTTCAAAATTTGATGTAATATGGACACTTTTAGAGTGGGTGCACTCAGTGAGTGCGCCGAAGTAGCCACCATATATATATATATATATATATATATATTAGATTTGATTGTTTAATTTATGGCAAAGAGACTAAGTAAAGAGGTTTGAGTTTGCCTAGAACTAGGCTATGGATAAGGAGAATGGATAAGAGGTGACATCTCAAAATTTTGTCATTGGTAATCTTTAATTTGACGAATTGGAGGATGAGAGACGACTAATACTAGTGTTTGATTTTTGGTGTTATGAATATAGCAAGAAATTAGGTGAGAAACGTGAGTTACTTAAACTGGAAAGTCAAAATTGAGTTGGATGGGGGCTTCTAAGTTGTGAAAGAGTGAGGAATGACAAAAGGTTGTGTTTTATATTTCATTAAATTTTAAAGTTCGGTATTTCTCGGTATTTCGGTATATACCAATCCCAATCCCGTAATCTCGAATACCGAATAGCACTCCAAAATGAATCACAATCCCAATCTCTTAAAAATAAGTCGGTATTCGGTAATACCAAATAGTGATAAATTCGGTACAGTATTCGGTATATCCCAAATACCGATACCAAACTTCCAGCCCTACATACAATATGGACCAAACATCCTATCCTAAATATATATAATTAGGGAGTTGCTAAAGGTCGCCCTTAAAATTGCTAAAGGTCGCCCTAAAAAGAATAAAAATTACACTTTTAACCCCCATAGCTTCTTTACCTTCCCTCCCTCAAACAAACATCACTTGGACTAAAAAAACATTATCTAAGGAGAGAAAAATCTCTCATCGTCATTTTGAAGCCGATATCGTCGGTAGGACGTCTGAATCATGAGTAGCGACTCCGACGAGGTAAAAACATGAACTGAAGAAAAAAAAAACACAGAAAATGGGAACCGCGGGTGATTTGCGGTCCGACCATGGTCCAACCGCAAGTGACCTGCGGTTGGACCATGGCCGGACCGTA